GGGCGGCACAGGGTGAAAAAGCAGCACATAAACAAAGTCTGGACAGGTCTTGATAATGAAATGTTTATCTGAAACCTACCCCCACCCAGCTGTCTGCTTGGCCAGTATGAGTCAGCTAATTTCTTGTAGGCTTTATGCCAGGAACGAGCCAGGGTAGATTAATGTCTTCACTTTGTTTATCCCCCCTAAAAAACATGAATCCTCCAAGTTCCCCTTGCCTGTCAGAAAACACGTAGGTTTCGCAGTAAAATACCGACGAGTTCCTCAACGCAGACTTCCTAGTGCGTGACCACAGAGGTAGCTGGGCTGTATCTACCCGGCGCTCCGAAAGTATGATTTCCAGAGGTAAACCCCCCCAGAAACACGCAGAACAAAGGGAGGTGGCATTTTCTGGGAGCAAAATGTCCCCCCTGCTCAACCTTACACCCCCAGCCCACCTGCAGGTGCCCCAGGTCCCCGTCCCCCCATCCCCTCCAGCCTCTCAGGGACACACGGACTCAGCGGAGACTTCACAGGGTGACCTTTATTCGGCTCTTACAACTTGGCATCTCCAGAGCAGCGTGCAGGACGCGCGGGCTGGAGGATGCTGCCGGGGCTTTCCTGCCGATGCTTTAGTGGTACTTGCGGGCCAGAGCGTGGGCCACCACACGGACCAGCTTCTGCCAGGCAGCCTGGCAGTCGGGAGTGAAGTCCTTGGCGAAGTGGGCAGCCAGGACGATGACCAGGATGTCACCCAGGAGCTGTGGGGACAAGAGCACCCTCAGGTTAGCAATGCCCAGGAACCTGAGGATCCCCATGCAACCACCCACATTAGGCCCAGGGAAACCTCTCGGCATTTTGTAGTCTTAAAAATATTCCTGGAGTCCTTTTAAAGATGTACCTTAAACTTGTTCTCTGCCCTTACTCTAAAGATTCAGGTTCTGCTACTGCTGTGGGAAGCGTAACCAAAAATTCTCCGGAAATCTGGTTGATTAAATTTTTCCTTCTCCCTTCTGGCTTCATTCGGGAGTTTCTCCCGAGCAGAAGACATAGCTGAGCATCTGCTGCGGGGCGTGCAGCCAGCACTCGGCTCTGCAAAGTGCCCTGGCATGAACAACAAGCTCGTGCTGACATGGGGAGGGGAACTCTGCCAGCCCCAGTGACAAATGTCGGGGTTACTTCCCCACTGGGAAGCTCTCGGCTACAGAGACGAGGAGCCAAAGTTTTCTCTTCCTCTAGCTCCCATTCCTCTTTTGCTTTTGGCATCTAGCCACCATCTCTTGCTCCTTGCTCCTCTCTCCTTTCTCCTCCGTGCCAAGCTTCACCCTTGCTCCTTTGCTTTCCCCTTGGCTCAGACCTCTTCCTGCTCAACAACCGCCTTTGCTTTACTCTCCCCCTCCCTTTCCGCACTGAAACCACCTCCTCGCCGCCCTCCCGTCTCCTCTGCATCCTCGCTTGCACCCTCCAGACGGCCTCTCCGTAACCATCACCCCTCAGCCCCATCGGTGCTTCCTCACCAAGCTGCAGGTTGGTCCCTTCCCTCTCCATCCCTCTCCTGCATCTCCCCCTTGCCCCGACCACCAGCCCCTCTTCGTCCTTCACCGGTGTGTCTAGAGTAAATCCCTCACACGGTGGGGCTCGGGGTTAGGGGATAAACTGCCTGGAGAGATGCAGTGGGGAAGACAGCTCACCCTGAAGTTCTCGGGATCCACGTGCAGCTTGTCGCAGTGCAGCTCGGACAGCTGGGCGAAGGTGTTCTTGATGTTGTCCAGGTTCTTCACGGCTTCCCCGAAGGAGGTGAGCACTTTCTTTCCATGGGCGCGGACCATGGGGTTGCCGAGAATGGCGGTGGCACTGGAGAGGTTCCCAAAGGATGCAAAGAACCTCTGGGTCCAGGGGTAGACAATCAGCAGCCTGCGGAGAGACGGAGGGACACGAGCAGACACACAGACACGTTAATGCTCCTGTGATTGGAGTGGTTTCTCTGTCCAGGGTGTAGCGGAGGAGATGCCCAGGAGATGGACCTACCTGCCCAGGGCCTCAGCACCGCAGTCGGCCACATTGACCTTGCTCCAGAGGCCGGTGATGAGCTGCTTCTCCTCGGCTGTCCAGTGCACCATGGTGTCGGGCGGAAGGGTAGCGTGTGGCTGCCGGCGGGTATGGAGCCCCCCCCATTGGCTGTGTCCCCGGGGGGGGCCCGCAGTCCTGGCACCCCAGGGAGGGGACGTGGCGTCAGGGTGGGGCCCCAGGGCAAGGTGCCCAGGTCCACCCCCGGGACGGGCTGGTGGGCTGCCCTCCCCCTGTCTTTGATTTCCAGCTCTGCAGCTCCCTGCTGAAGGGTGGCATTTATCTCCGTGCGATGTCCGAGCACGGCGCCGCGCGAGTCCCACGTAGGAAGCTGAGTGCGAGGCTTGGTTCCCCTAGGATATCGTAGACCATGGTGGGCATCGTGGCTGCGAAGCAGAAGACTTGGACTTGGGGCTGTCGGATCCTCCCTCTGAATGCACCAGCGGTGTGAAACGGTTTCTCTTTGTCCCCTTGCAGGACCTCTCAGGCTTTGGGTTCTCCTTGTTCTTTCTTATCAGTTATTTAAGTTTGCTAACTTTAGGGTAACACTACGAAAACCATGAGCAGTGGCTTGCAGTCAGAGAGAGCTCCTGTCCCAAAGAGCCTGTTGGCAATGGAAGGGAAATGGTATAACACAGGGCACACTAATTGCCTTCAGGGTGATAGCTAGCAGGGACCCCAGGAGAGGTGGGAAAGACTGGGTGTACTGGGGTCCGTGCAGATGCGCAGCAGGAGACAGTGCCTGACCCAGCGGTTTGGCAGCTGGAGGAGCAGTGGTCCTCCCAGGTGGTGGGAGAGGCAGCTGGGGCTCCTGGGGCTGCAGCCTGGCTCCTGCTCCCAGCAGAGCAGGCTGGAGGTGGTGGGGTGAGATGCAGGCGCTGGGACCAGCAATGGAGCTTGTGGGGCCGGAACCAGGCAGCACACAGGAAAGCCAACTGGTCCAGAGCAGCTTGGACAGCCATGGAGCAATGTGTTTGCATCAGCCGTGGTCTGGGGGCTGCAATCGCTTCTGATGGCTGCACCGGTTCTCCTCTGCTTGCTCACCTGAGGAGGGGGCTTGGCCAAAGGACCCTGGGCTGATGGAGGATCCTGTGGGCTGACGCCGTTCCCCAGCCCTCTACGCTGAAGACTGCGGTGTTTACTGCAGCCCTGCTCTGGAGACCTTCGCTCTGCCTTCCCTCTGATAAGGGGCTGGGAGGAATTTACCACGCAGAAAGCCCAGACGTGTCCCTGAGCTGCTCTCGGTGCTGTGGGGCTGTTGGCAGTCTGAAAGGAAGACAGGAGGCCAGTGAGAGCCATGGTCCTCTGCGTGGCGTGGGGACTGATAAGGGAATTTGGTTTTGTTTGTGTAAAGTTAGGTGTAGGGGCCAGCGAAAGCAGGCACTCTGTCCTTCCTGTACATGAAATTAGCATGTGCTAACGTGCTGCCATTCAGCGTGACCTGGACAGGCTGGAGAGTTGGGCAGAGAGGAACCTGATGAGGTTCAACAAGGGCAAGTGCAGGGTCCTGCCCCTGGAGAGGAACAACCCCAGGCACCAGCACAGGCTGGGGCTGAGCTGCTGGAGAGCAGCTCTGCGGAGAGGGACTGGGAGTGCTGGGGGACGACAGGGTGACCATGAGCCAGCAGCGTGCCCTGGGTGCCAAGAAGGCCAATGGGATCCTGGGGTGCATGAGGAGGAGTGTGGGCAGCAGGGCGAGGGAGGTTCTCCTCCCCCTCTGCTCTGCCCTGGGGAGGCCCCATCTGCAGTGCTGTGTCCAGTGCTGGGCTCCCCAGTTCAAGA